TGAATATAATAATTAAAGGTTGTGTATATAAAATTTGTGTTTTGATGTCTATTTTCTAAATCTAATAAAACATTTTCATTTCATTTTATTTTTTACTGATATAAAAAATGATATACAAGTTGAGGTTTATTTAAAAGTTTTGATACATTGATATACTTTCTAATATCAATTTTTTCATACATGTTTTTCACCACTTTTCAACAATGAAACTCATATATCTTTATGGAGCTACGTCCAATCCCCGGTCTTGCAAAGTACCAATTAATAATTTTGATTTATTGATTACCTAATAATTAGTATATCTAAATATCAATCGACTATCGAGTATAACAATCATCACAAAGCTAAAAGACATTGAAGGAACCATTGACTGTATTTATGTATGTTTGTAAACTTATATTAAAACATATCAAAAGTACCTCAATTCACTCCTCCCAGTCTTTGATGCAGGTACTTTTAATAGTCAGCCTTCCAATTTGCTCACTCGTGCATGATCTCGAAGGGATGAAAAGTACTGCTCATATTAACAAGGTACACTTTCTTTTAAGAAGCTCACCTATTAAGATCTTTGCCATTAAACATGCGTGTATAAATTTCCCCGGCATTTGCCCCACTGATTTTGGTGGTTTACCTTCCGGGTTAAAAAAAACATGCTTGTATAAATTTAATCTTAGGCTAATGCCCTCCCCCCGAGAAGTTTATCCAGGCGAGCACATACAAGTGATGACAAAGTGTGCGAGAAAAGGCTTGTATGGTTTGAGAGAAGTACTATGTTTGAACAACATGCAAGAGTAACAATATTGAACCCTACGGGGGTCGGGGTGTTACGTGTTCTAAATACCACTTCCATCTTAGCCCGTTATTGTGAAGGCACCCATTTTGGATAGAATGTTGTACTTTTTGTCCAACTGACCTACATTTGAATTTCCATTGTCCAATTTTAAATCATAAATAGAGTAGAAGAGGTTGTGGTGCTTTAAACAAGAAACTTAGGACTCCATTGACTTAATTGTTGGGATATTGTCCTCACGATTCCGTTGAGGCCCAAATTCACTTTGGTCACACGAGTGCTCGAAAAGAAGACACTTGGGTTGTAGACAACAATGTTAGGTTAACTTGTCCATTTGCCATGTTACTTCGAGCAAGACTAGTGCCAAAACACTAGTCAAATCAAAAGGCCAAGCAAGCAACCGATCCAAATGATGCACAAGGATGGGATGTGGCCGATGGCCTTCAACTCAATCCAGCACTATAATCAAGATTCTAGACATGGGGTCATTGTGATATCTAGTACATAGGAGATCATGATCAAAGGAGCATGCCAAAATCAGCATGGCTACTACTTCTATACCAAGGAGAGCCCTTCTCTTGTCCAGAAGCAACACCAGTATAGACAAGAAGACCATTTAATTTATGGATTTAGCTAAAGATCTCCCGATTTGATAGCTAATCAATGAAGAACAGACACATGACTTCTGCAATCCACTATAGGGCTATAAATACCGCCTCATAATTTCATCTGGCAGGCTAGCTGATATTTATTTTTAGCACTTAAACCCTTTATTCATTGCAATAAGTTATTAGTGAGTGAGATTAACTTAATTGTGGGATCAAATGTCCAAATGCATTGGGACCGCTAAGCCAACTAGGTTGAGCCTAGTACAGAGACGCATAATTTATTATATACCATTCACTACGTATTTTAATTATTTAATTAATAATAACTAAACAAGCCCCTACCAAGGATTTTGCATGAGACTCTTAAAAGTAAATAAAGTCAACGTGGTCATAGATATTAACTTCAACGATAGTAAACGAGCAACACATTAAGTCATATTATGGTGGCCATACCTTAAAAGTAAATAAAGTTAACACAGTCCACAAACAGTTTTAGTTGCCATTTATGTCGCTGGTTTGATTTATGCTTATAATTTTGAAATTATGCTCTTATATTATGGCTAGAATCACTATAGTCACAACGACATAACACTAGGTAAGTTATGTCGTTGTACCCGTGACATCACAACGACAACAAGTAAATGAGCATGGTCTGAACGGTCCGGTAAATTAACAAAACTTGTGATCATGTGATGTACCTGTGAGATCTCTAACGGTACATTTCGGTCCTGTTTTAAGGATGTCAACAAAAATAAGAAAGAGCATTCTAAATGTTTGGAAAGATTTAAGAGACTGACATTTTTGTGTTTAAATTTGCAAATACTCAAATAATACACAACACAACAAGGGAAAAAATGGCAAAATGATGATACACTAGATAAATATAATCTTTATAAAATTCATGTGAAAATATCAAAAAATATATATATCATAATTTTTTTGAATATATAGAAAAGTCCAACATTAAGAGTACTCCTATTCCCTTATTTAAGAATAAAGGTGATGTACAAGAATGTGCCAACTATCGAGGGATTAAGCTTATGAGTCATACCATGAAACTTTGGGAGCGAGTGATTGAGCAAAGACATCGAAGAACGGTGAAGATTTCAGAGAATCAATTCGGTTTTATGCCTGGTCGCTCAACAACTGAGGCTATTCACCTTCTTCGGCAACTTATGGAGAAGTATAGAGACGCTCACAAGGATTTGCATTTAGTGTTCATTGACTTAGAAAATGCATATGATAGGGTACCTCGAGAAGTTCTTTGGTGGGCCTTAACTAGAAAAGGCATTTCATGGAAGTATATCAGCATCATCATGGATATGTATGAGGATTGTACTACAAGTGTCCGTACTAGTGTAGGGAGGACTGCAGAGTTCCCTATTACTATCGGAGTGCACCAAGGATCGGCTCTGAGCCCTTTTTTATTTGCCATAGTCATGGATGATCTTACAAAGTCAATTCAAGATGATATACCGTGGTGCATGATGTTTGCCGACGATATTGTATTGATTGATGAGACACAATCAGGGGTTAAAGCAAAGTTGGATGTATGGCGACAAACATTGGAGAACAAGGGTTTCAGACTAAGTAGGAGCAAGACAGAGTACATGGAGTGCAAGTTTGGTGGAGGTAGAAGCAGTGGTAATAGCGGAATTACTTTAGATGGTAAGGAGATACTGGTCAGCGATATGTTCCGTTACTTAGGCTCCATAATTCAGAAGGACGGTGAGTTAGATGGAGATGTATCCCATAGAATCAGAACAGGGTGGATGAAGTGGAAGAGTGCGTCAGGATTTCTATGTGATCGAGGTATGCCGACTAGACTGAGGGGTAAATTTTATAGGACAACAATTAGGCCTGCACTACTGTATGGCACGGAGTGTTGGGTGGTGAAACAATGTCACATTCAAAAGATGAGTGTGACAGAGATGCGCATGCTGCGTTGGATGTGCGGGCATACTAGAAAGGATCGTGTGAGGAATGAGACAATCAGACAAAGGGTGGAAGTAGCACCTATTGAAGATAAGATGCGGGAGTCGCGCCTACGATGGTTTGGTCATGTGCATAGGAGACCGATTGATGCACCTGTCAGACGAGTGGAGATGTGTGGAGAAGAGGCAGAGAAGAAAGGGAGAGGAAGACCCAAACAGACGTGGGCTAGGGGAGTCAGAAGTGATATGCTTCTTCTTGGATTGGATGAGAGTATGGCTTTGGAGAGAGCGAAATGGAGGACGGGTATTCGTGTGGAGGAGTGATATTGTATCATCTTTTCCCCTCTTTTCTTCTTCTTCTTCTTTTTCTTTTTCTTTTATATTTTTATCCTTATATATAAACATTACTTTATCCTTTTTATTTTATCTTTTATATGTATATTCATCTCTTTTATATTATCTTTTTTATAATAGCTTATCTTTTTTATCTTTATTTCCTTTCTTTTCTTTTGGATGATATCATGTATCGATTCATGTTAGCCGACCCCAATATCGTTTGGGACTAAGACTTGGATGTTGTTGTTGTATAAAAAAGTCCAACATTCTTTTTCTTTACTCTAGGTTGAAAGTTAGTTCTAAATTATAGTTACAACGTGAGAGATAAGACTTAAATCATATTAATTAAGTTGTAAAATTACAGATGTACGACACAAAGTCATATACATACAATACATTATTGGAATGTAGTAGTTGACTTTTAAAACTTTAGCTTTTTTTTTCTTCAAATGGTGGTAACCCAGAGAGCTTGCCATCACCAACTAATCAATTGTCATCTAGAGCTTTGACTCCCCAAAGATCCAGAAGCGAAAGTTCATACAAGAATCCCTACAGTAAGAACCCCAAAACCAATCTACTGTTGGGACAATTTTTAGCTTTAATACAACTATACGAGCACTCCTCCTTGGTTCAATCTTATAGCCAGTGAAACTCACTAAGTTATACGATCAAGTAGCTCTTTGTCAGTCAATTATTTCCTAATGTAAGTGATCTCTTTATCACTTGACTCCCCAGTGCCTGTAATCTCCCGCACCTCAGGAGAAGGGAAAGCGGTCTGAAGCGCTTTTTCCTCAATTTATAACTTTAGCATTCTTTCAATATGTACCAAAATATAACATAAATTATCTGAAAGGAAAAAACATACATAATTTATATAAAAATAAACATTCAACTATTTTAGAGTTCCACGAATACATACTTGAACTATAAAATTATTGGGCTAGATAAAAGATTTATTGGTACAGAACAAATATAAAAAACTCAAATGCATTATTTTTGAACAGTCCAATCAGATATTTTTTGGTTCTCAGAATCTAAAACCGGTCCCATATCATTTCAAACGGTACAATTTCGGTTCAGGATGAAAATTTGTAGAACCATATAAATACTTGGTATCCAACTCAATACCATTACGGGCTGGATCGCTACCGGCTTAGTGTGGTTTTTATGCCCACCCCTAGAAGAAAAATATAGGGGAAAATACAAAAAAGGGATTTGACACTTTTTAATCACAACACTAAACGTGCAGAATTTTTATATCACAATCAAGTTTGTAGTAAGAATTTAGGTTATAAATTTAAAAAAGAATCAATTATACGAGGTAGTTTGATAATTTCATCTAGTTATTCCGATAAAAAATCCCAGTATAATCTGCTTCAACGAGAGCACTTCAAGCCATAAAATGGAGCATTCTTACAGGTGTGCCGTATACCCTCCAACTTCATACCATTTCAAGCCCTCATTCCCTTCGGCTCTATCTTCATCCATTGGCCTCTCAAGCAAAATCCCAATTTATCATTCCAAGAAACAAAAAAAATTGTTCACTGCCTCTCTAAGGACTGTGTGTATTGGCCAGTTCTCATTTCCTGAACTGCACTCCTCATGTAAAAAAAGATGGCCCCCGTTTGTAGTCTCAGCCGCTGCTGCCGCCATTGATACTGTGGAGGACAAGCTTCCAGCTGCTCTCCAAGTCATTGAAACAAAAGAGCCCAATTCCAGGGTGAACATACAAAATACCCCTCTATTGTTTTCAATCTTTCCGTACTTACTTTCCTTAATGGTGGGGAGATTTGTTATTCTTGTTGACCGGTTATTGAATTTGTATTTGACAAAATGCCTGACAGGATTGATCATTTCTTTCTGTAATGCATTGTATATGGACTACAAATTTTGAAGTCCATCCTACCCCGGATGTCATTGGTTGAACTAATATAATGAAATAAAACCTCAAATTTTAATAACCTATGAGAGTCAATCATACTCAACCAGCAACTCAATCTCATGGAAACTTAAATGGGCAACAAATTTCAAAATTGATCTGTTTAAGCCACCATCATGGGCATGCTAAGTCATAGCCACAAGTTCTTTGAAATACAATACTAACATATTGAGCAGGATGAAACTAAGTTTTAACAAATTCATTTCCAACAATTTCATGTAACAAAAAATTCTGATTCAGAGTGCATCGATGCAGGTCAGATTGAGTGTAGATGTTCCCCCTGTTGTATGCGAGGATTGTTACAGAAGAGTCATAAAGGAGTTCACTAAACATTCAAAGGTAACTCAATTGTTTGCTCAGTTCTGGAAAGTGGGAACTACATAAAGTGAAAACTGAAAGTATTATTCAAATGCTCTATTCAGGTCCCTGGATTTCGCCCTGGAAAGAGTGTTCCTGAAAGCATCTTGGTTAGCTATGTCGGGAAGCAAAATGTTCAGAAAGCTACTGTTGAATCTATTCTCAAGAGAACCCTCCCGCATGCTTTGTCTTCGGTGTGTTTCCATCTTCATTTTGTCTGCTGTTGAAGTCCCTCCTCTATGTTACCATGAAAGAAGAAATCAGATTCATTCATGTGTGTACATGTATTCTAATTCCCACTTATTTCTTGATGCATGCTGATCACCATAGGTAACTGGAAATGCCTTAGAAGACTCAATTCACATTGCTACGAAATTTTCCGACATGGAAAAGACATATTCATCTTTAAACTCTCTGAGGTTTGCTAGAACCATTACTTCTCGTTTAATAACTCAGCTATCTCGTAAAATTGGTTATCAAAATCATAAAGTAAAATGGATTTGGGAGAGTTATAAAGTGATATTAGCTTAAACGCCTCAGGCACAATGTGGATGTTTTCTTTTTCTACTATTACAGTGCATTAATTCTTTTCTTAGGAATGCCATCTCTATGATTGTAGTTAGGGCTGAATCTTTGTGGTCATTGAGCAGCATCTAGGATGACCTAGGGCACCTTGTCTCCCTCTTTTATTACTATTACTATTATTATGATTTCTATTTTTATTATTAGAGATAATAGCCCTAAATAGGACTAAACTAATCCCTAAATGCACAAACAGGACTATGTTATTTATCTTCCCGAAATAGGACTAAAGTATACTGTATACCCTATCTTCCTATTCTACCCTTACCATAACTTAATAGGATAATCATATTTTAATTTGTAATAAATACTGAAAAAAATCTCTTATACAAAAAATCATAATAAAAAATATAGAAAAATTCTAAAATATTTTTTTTAAAAAATACTAGAATAATAAAAAGCAAAAAAATATATTTAAAAAATAAAAATTTTTTAAAATAAATACAAATAGATAAAACACCTTACAAAAAAATATGAAGGCCTATCCCACAATCTCGGCAACTACCCAACAATTTTACCTCTGATCTGCTAAGAAATGCCATTTTGTGTAAAAACTGCCATTTTTTCTCTAAAAATGCTATGAAAGTGTCATTTTTACTCTTTGAAAGTGTCAAAATTTTCTCAAAAACTACCATCAAGATGGCATTTCTAACACATGTTGTTATTTTTCAGGTGATCAGAGCTGATGGTGCTGGGAGGCTGCTGAGGCAGCAGCATATGCCTACATATTTTTTTAATATTTTTTACATTTTTATTTATTTTATTGTAATTTTTAGGTTTTTTATTTGATACTTTTTTTTTCAATTTTTTTTATTCATTTCATTTAATATTTATTTTGTGTTTTTTATTTCTTTACATTTTTTATATTTTATTACTTTTATATTTTAATCATTAATGAAATATGAGTTGTATTAAAAACAAGCAAGCGTAGAATTGGAAAGCTAGTTCTATTTAGGGAATTTTTAAGTTATGTTCCTATTTTGGCAATTAAAGTTTCATTTAGTCCTAGTTGGAGAATTCTCCCTTATTATTAGTTATGAATTATTTTTATATTTTTTGTAGTAAAATAGCTTTGTAATGATTTAATTTTAGGTCTTTGTGGTATAACAATTAGTAAAGTAGCAGTTGTTTTTTAAATTAAAATAGCAGGTGTTTTCTAGCCATTGAGATATTCATATACATTAAAAATACATTTTTATTTATTGTAAGATTTGTAAAAATAGTTGTTAGAAATAGAACAATTAGATGTTATTTGGAAGGAGTGGGGAGTTTAAGGGTATGTTTGCAAAAAATTAAAAAAAAAGTGATTTTAAGCTTTTGGCTTAAAAAAGCTGAAAATAGTGTTTTCAAGTGACAACTTCTGCTTAAATTAAACACTTAAAAGCTAAAATCTTGAAAATGCTTTATAATTTTTCTATTACACAAAAAGCACATACTATCTATTTTACCAAACACTACCAACTTTTACTTTTCAAAATCAATTTTTTCTCAAACTAACTTTTACTATTAAGCATTTTTTTTCCAAAATCACTTAAAAAATGATTTTAGTAAAGCAGAAGCAATTGCAAACACTCTTTAAGTTGGATCGGAACCAAAAAACCATTCTAGGCCACCCAATAATTGTGACTGTCTGATAGTATTACCGGCTAAGCACAAAGTTGCGGCGCCTCCTCGAATGATCGACCTAATAACATTATTTTTCTCTATCCAGACTACTAAAAATTCCAAGCAATTTATGACTAAAATTTGTCCAATTCCCCAAGCAAACAAACTGCTTATGACAAACAACATCTTATTGTTATAGCGAAACAGATAAATGCTTACTAATCGGGCTAACGTTGAACTTGGTACAATTAAAGTGTTAAGCAACTGAAAAAGAAGATGATTAAGGAATACAAAGATATTAGGCTTTGACTAGCCTTATTATTAGAACAATGGCTATTTTTCATAGGCAAGCAGAATAAATCAGCAACCAAATGGGGCCTTAGGGAAACTTACTAATGGTAAATCAGGTATGATGTCCTTCTTGATGTGGCACCTCAAATCAAATGGGTTCCAGAAAATGGATACAAAAATATTAAGGTTGTTGTAGAGTTAGACAGTGATGTAGATGCTCAGAGAATTGCTGAGCAAGAGCTGAAGCGTCGTCACAAAGCTCTAGGTGCATTGCAAATTGTTTCTGATAGGGGGCTGCAGGTAAAACATGCTCCACCACTTTGAAATACACTGTTCAGTGTTTTTATAGATAAAAATGTATTTTCATTTGAAGTATTTTAAGTTAAACTCAATTTCCTGGATCTAAATGCAACTTATTGGAGTAAATAGGATGGCGATGTTGCAATTATTGATATATCAGCAACAACAGTTGGAGATGAACAGAATTCTAAAAGAATTCCAGCAGCAGAGAGTAAAGGTTCAATCTATTCTCTAACATATGTTTACATTTTTAAACATCCCTGAATGCGAGTTTCTGCTATTCCCATTGGAATTTAAGATTGATCCACTAAAACTAATACTCTTATCCCAAGAAAGAGTCGTATTTGGTGAAGGCACAACTTTTTAATTTGGCAAGGTACAATGGTTTAATTGTTTAAAGTAATGTAATTACACGAAAAGTTAGTTCTCTGATAAGAACAGAAAAATAAAATCAACGGGATGAACCGTTGCCCAGATAATCAACGATAAATAAATACCGTTGCCCAGAGCCAAAAGGCTAAACCAACTTTTATTCCAAGATGAGCATGAATGAATCCTAACAAGGGGTTTAAATACCCATCTACTAATTCTTAAACTAGGAAACAAAATCCTAGAGATCCTAATCAACTCCAACTAGGAAACAAAATAATAAAGATCCTAATCAACTTCAAATAGGAAAGAAATAATAGAAATCCTAATTAACTCTTAATAGGAAACAAATATTAGAAATCCTAATTAACTCCAAAAGGAAACAAATCAAAAAAATAAAAAGAATAAATATTAATTAAACAGCCCGCAACCAGCCCATGAAGCTGGGCTCAAGCCCGTCCCGCCTTCGGTAAACCCACGGGGGCTTCGGCCCCTCTTCTTCCAAGCCCAGATTCTGCTTCATATCAATTCCATCACTCTTTGAAAAAACCTTGTCCTTAAGGTTGAAATCCGGAAACCGGCAGACATTTGTTCCCGGTGGCTGCCCAGTATCTTTAGGAAAAATTGAGATGTACTCCTCCACAGTCCCTGTCTGCTTGCCTCCGGACAGTCGTTCAAAGTGATTGCCCTTAAACCGTGAGTCATAACGAGCCATCGCCTGTGTAAGCTCATCCCATGACATGCCCGGCTTTCGTGTCCGTATCTAGGTCAACCGGTATAGGGCTGACCCTTCCATCGCAACTACAGTGGCCGCCCCCTTCTTTCCCGGCAGAGCACAATTCAATTCGAACCGTTTCTCAGCCTTATCAACCCGGCTGATCAGTTCTACTTCGTTTAACGAGGGCAACATCATGAGAAAGGAGCTGCATAGTCCAATTTCGAACGAGGATGCTGCTGCCGCGTCGAGTGAAGTCACCACCGTTGAATGCTCTGCCGCTGGCGGTGCGAGAGTCTCTTTGAGTGCAGCCAATGAGGAAGTGACGTTGTGCGGCTGTCCGTCGCCGCTATGCGCATATACGTTGGGGCTGCCAACCGTGTCCGAGCTTGTTTCCGTCGTGACTGATGGAACGAGCGCCTTAGTAAGCGCTGTCAGGGATGCGACGATCTCCGACAGACGCATGTTGTGCTCCTCTAGTGTTTGAGTTTGCTTGGCCACCATCTCTGACAAACGTTCACTGATAGATCTCGTCATTCTGGCGGGACGGGATCCGGCAGGTCGGCCAATTGATAAGAACAGAAAAATAAAATCAGTGGGGTGAACCGTTGCCCAGATAATCAACGATAAATAAATACCGTTGCCCAGAGCCAAAAGGCTAAACCAACTTTTATTCCAAGATGAGCATGAATGAATCCTAACAAGGGGTTTAAATACCAATCTACTAATTCTTAAACTAAGAAACAAAATCCTAGAGATCCTAATCAACTCCAAGTTCCAACTAGGAAACAGAATAATAAAGATCCTAATCAACTTCAAATAGGAAAGAAATAATAGAAATCCTAATTAACTCTTAATAGGAAACAAATATTAGAAATCCTAATTAACTCCAAAAGGAAACAAATCAAAAAAATAAAAAGAATAAATATTAATTAAACAGCCCGCAACCAGCCCATGAAGCTGGGCTCAAGCCCGTCCCGCCTTCGGTAAACCCACGGGGGCTTCGACCCCTCTTCTTCCAAGCCCAGATTCTGCTTCATATCATTCTCTTTGGTGATATATGACTTTTCCAGAATAAAACTAACTTCTGATACACGACTCTTTTTATGGGGCAGAGGACTACAATTTTTTTTTATAAAGGCTTTCCCCCAACCCCAAAATCTTTTGGGATTAAGGCTTGGATGTATGTACACACTTTCTTATACACACCTTATACACACCTCTGTGAGAAGGCTATTTTTTGTATGTGAATCCCGTTCACAGACAAAACATGTTGGTGAATATTCACCAACATGTTAATTCACAGATAAACAAATAGCCTTCTCACAGAGGTGTGTATAAGGTGTGTATAAGAAAGTGTGTACAAGAAGAATGTTTGTTTTTCTATAGAGCTCACTCCATGACCATGGATCGAGTTGGCTATGATACCATATTAAGAGACTTGAAGTTCCATCCTAAAATATTAATCTGATAAGAGGAATAGCCAAATGTGTTGTATGTTCGTTTGTTATTTCATGTATAGCATTACAAGACAAACTCTTAAACAATTTTGTTTACAGAATGCTTTAAAATATCACCTTCATACTAGAATACTTGTTTGGTTTCTACTCCGCAGAGCTGTGCAAAGTCTGGGTTTTGATTTGATTGATTTGTAGGTCTTGCTCTGAATTTGATGGGGAACATGATGACAATCATGGTAGAGTAATTCCACCCGGTTTCCTATGATTTTCACATTCACTGGCATTCTGGCAATGAGTTGGAGAAAGAGTACTCTTATTCCCTTATTTAAGAATAAAGGTGATGTACAAGAATGTGCCAACTATCGGGGGATTAAACTTATGAGTCATACCATGAAACTTTGGGAGCGATTGATTGAGCAAAGACTTCGAAGAACGGTGAAGATCTCAGAGAATCAATTTGGTTTTATGCCTGGTCGCTCAACAACTAAGGCTATTCACCTTCTTCGGCAACTTATGGAGAAGTATAGAGACGCTCACAAGGATTTGCATTTAGTGTTCATTGACCTAGAAAAGGCATATGATAGGGTACCTCGAGAAGTTCTTTGGTGGGCCTTAACTAGAAAAGGCATTTCACGCAAGTATATCAGCATCATCATGGATATGTATGAGGATTGTACTACAAGTGTCCGTACTAGTGTAAGGAGGACTGCGGAGTTCCCTATTACTATCGGAGTGCACCAAGGATCGGCTCTTAGCCCTTTTTTATTTGCCATAGTCATGGATGAACTTACAAAGTCAATTCAAGACGATATACCGTGGTGCATGATGTTTGCCGACGATATTGTATTGATTGATGAGACGCAATCAGGGGTTAAAGCAAAGTTGGAAGTATGGCGACAGACATTGGAGAACAAGGGTTTCAGACTAAGTAGGAGCAAGACAGAGTACATGGAGTGCAAGTTTGGTGGAGGTAGAAGCAGTGGTAATAGCGGGATTACTTTAGATGGTAAGGAGATACCAGTCAGCGATATGTTCCGTTATTTGGGCTCCATAATTCAGAAGGACGGTGAGTTAGATGGAGATGTATCCCATAGAATCAGAACAGGGTGGATGAAGTGGAAGAGTGCATCAGGATTTCTATGCGATCGAGGTATGCCGACTAGACTGAAGGGTAAATTTTATAAGACAGCAATTAGGCCGGCATTATTGTATGGCACAGAGTGTTGGGCGGTGAAACAATGTCACATTCAAAAGATGAGTGTGGCAGAGATGCGCATGCTGCGTTGGATGTGTGGGCATACTAGAAAGGACCGCGTGAGGAATGAGACAATTAGACAAAGGGTGGGAGTAGCACCTATTGAAGATAAGATGCGGGAGTCACGCCTACGGTGGTTTGGTCATGTGCATAGAAGACCGAGTGATGCACCTGTCAGACGAGTTGAGATGTGTGGAGAAGAGGTAGGGAAGAGAGGGAGAGGAAGGCCCAAACAGACGTGGGTTAGGGGAGTCAGAAGTGATATGCTTCTTCTTGGATTGGATGAGGGTATGGCTTTGGAGAGAGCAAAATGGAGGGCGGGTATTCGTGTTGAGGAGTGATCTTGTATCATCTTTTTTTTTTTCTTCTTCTTCTTCTTCTTTTTTTTCCTTTTCTTTTATATCTTTATCCTTATATATAAATATTACCTTATGTATATCCTTTTTATTTGATCTTTTATATGTATATTCATCTCTTTTATATTATCTTTTTTTTTTATAATAGCTTATCTTTTTTATCTTTAGTTTCCTTCTTTTCCTTTTGGTGATAATGTGATATCATATATCGATTCATGTTAGCCGACCTCAATATCATTTGAGACTAAGGCTTGGATGTTGTTGTTGTTGTTGGCATTCTGGCAATGAGTGAGCTATATCCAATTGGAAGATGATCATCCACTATACTCTTAGAAATTGACTCTATAATAGGATATAAAATTGATTCTATAATTTATAATTTAACTGTCCTTTCTGTTAATTATAGCCTTTTATTCTTTCATTTTTTTATTTTATTTTTCCAGGTTTCAACTTTGATACAGAAGAGGGAGATAAAGTTCTCCCTGGTTTCCTGGACTCAGTAATTGGAATAAAATGTGGTGAAACGAAGTCTTTTCCACTTGTATTTCCAGAATCATGGAAACAAGAAGATCTCCGTGGTGTTCATGCTCAATTCACAGTGAGTAAATATGAGTGCCTTCCCATTTCTGGTTGTGGATATCGTTTCTTATTTTATTGTATATTCTTAACTGTCTAGGTGGTTAAAACACTTTGCTGATTAAAACACTCATTATGGACATCTCAAATTTAATTTTCTTTACAATATTCAAATTTCAGGTTCATTGTAAGGAACTATTCTATATAGATTTACCTGAGCTGAATAACTCCCTTGCTGAAAAGCTTATTCCAGGATGCACTACCATTGAGGATGTGAGCTACTATTTTGCAATACTATTTTGCAAAGAATTACAGATATTGCATTACAGCAAAATTAAATTACTTGAAAGCTTCTATTTTGTTTTGTTCTTTTGTTAAAAAAGTAGGATATTTCATTAATTCGTAGGTCAAGCAATCATTGTGGCAAAGGTGCCAGGAAGTAGAGCAAGCAGCTAAAGAGCAAGCAACTGATAATGCAATTCTAGATCAAATTCAACAGGTCATTTGCTTGTAGTTTTTTTATGTCATTTATTTATTGTTTTACTCGTGGCAGTCTTGGGCATTTTCTTAGTGGACAATCCATACATACCAAACCATGGCTGTAACTTTTTTTCCTTTGTTCAATGATGACAATTGAGGGTAGGCTTATCTGACTATATTTCTACCCTTCTTATACTATTCAATTTATCCTATTCCCAAGAATAGCATAAAGAGGAGGGTGGCTTTTTAGTAGGATATTTTAGGTAAGCATTAAATATTTTGATGAATTCTTCTACATTTTCTTATACTGTAAGAGTTGGTGGCATCCTACTTATGTTTATCAGTTAGATTTTCTATTTAACAAAAATTAAGACATTAACTTATTTGGCTGCACAAGCTAAATCAGTTGATAATGAAACGATGTGTTGCCGAAGTTGTTGAAATAAATGAATATATCACTTCTACCTTGATAAATAACCAAGTTCATCAACATCAGCCACTACAATTCATGAAGCTTCACAACTCACAAGGAACTGCTATAGCTTGGCAATCCAACTTAATAGCTACTACTGCATTTAGGAAGCCATGGAAGGATTGGATGTATGGGAACAAGGAGGGTGTACAAGCGGGATCAGTTCAAAAGGATGCTAGTGGAAGGCTATGGTGGTAGAGGGAATTTGATTGGACCACTAAGTGTTGGACTTCAGGGATGACTGGTTGAACCTAAGGATCTCAAAGGGTTGAGGGGTTTCTTAGGTTTAACCGGTTATTACAGGAGATTTGTTAAAGGATATAGCAGGATTGCTGCTCCTTTAACTCAGCTTTTGAAGAAAGATTGTTTCCTTTGGAATGCTGCAGCCAGTAAAGCATTTGAAGAATTGAAACATGACTTCTCTCCCAGTTTTAATGGCTCCAGATTTCAGCAAGTTGTTTATTCTGGAAACAGATGCTTCAAGAAAAGGATTGGGGGCTGTTTTGATGCAGGAGGGTAGACCAATCGCTTTTATTAGTAAGGAGCTGTCTGTGAAAAACCAGAATAAATCAGTGTATGAAAAAGAGCTAATGGAAATTGTGTTGGCTATTCAGAAGTGGAGACCCTACATATTAGGTAGGAAGTACATACAGATAAAAAAGTTTGAAGTTCCTCACAGAGCAGAAAATCATGGGAGAAGAACAACAGAAGTGGATAATTAAGTTGTTGGGCTATAACTTTACCATTAAATATAAGCCAGAGATTGAAAATAAAGCGGCAGATGCTCTATCAAGGAAGCCCAATTTGCAGTCTTTATCAATAGTAACCTGTCAAGAGTGGGAAGGTTTAGAGGAGGAGCTATTAAAGGATTCTAAATGTTATGATACTATTCAAAGACTACTCAGTCAACCTGAACAACTTCCAGATTTCCAATTGAAGAAAGGGCTGCTATATTTTAAAAAGAGGTTGATGTTGCCTAAAGATTCTCCAAGAAAATTAAAGATACTCAAAGAATACCATGATTCAGTCCCAGAGGGGCACTCAAGATATTTCAGGACTTTGAAAAGGATCTCAAACCTCTTCTATTAGACTGGAATGAGGAATGACATCAAACAGTATGTACAAGGTTGTGATATATGTCAAGGAAACAGATATCAGGCCTTGAAATCAGCTGGATTACTTCATCCACTACCTATTCCAGATCAAATATGGCGTGATATCAGTATGGATTTCATTGGTGGACTACCTAAAGCACAAGGGAAAGACACTATACTGGTGGTTGTTGATAGGTTGACCAAATTTGTCCACTTTATAGCCGTATCTCACCCATACAATGCCAAAAGTGTAGCTGAATTGTTCATAAAAGAGGTAGTGTAGTTACATGGATTTCCAAAAGCCATAATAAGTGATATGGATAGCATATTCCTAAGTTCTTTTTGGTTAGAATCATAGTAGTCACGACGCACGGCGACCTGCATAGCGCAGGGGTAAATTCACGCGGCGATGGCGCTAAAATGGCGCACCAGTAAAACACAACATCCAAAAAAATTAAACATAACCTATACACAATATACATGTATGACTTAGCCACCAATTAAAGAGTTAAAATTCTAAATAGTCAAAATAGCACAAAAAAATATTCCAAATCAAATTAAATAACTGATATCGTCCAACCTTCGAGTCAACCGGCCCACAAAAAATGAGAGCATGTGAAAAACAAAGAGAAACAGAGAACTGCTTGTCTGCTTTTAACTTTACCAAAAAAGAGAACGGGTTTTAGAGAAAGGCTTTTAAGTTATTTTGCCAGACTTGAATATCAAAAAGAGAAGAACTAAAACCACGAAACAAGCAGTCTGCATGGATGACAAGCGATTAGAGTCGGCGACCAGCTTCAGCAACAATCGACAGCCACGCGACCAGCGACGGCGACCAGATACATCGACTGCGACGGCGACCAGGTACTGTGACTACGACGACGACCAGCTACAACGACTGCGACCATCAAACCGAAATCGCGACCCAGACGTGTGCGATAGCGCCATTATTTGGCGCAAAATGTCGAGAGCAAGGCGATATCGCACATTTGACAGCGCAACATGTAACCCCTGCGCCAGAGCCAAAAATTGTGGCGAAGACCCCCTGAATCGCCAAAGGCGAGAAATGGAGATCGCCATTTACTACTATGGTTAGAATTGTTCAAACTGGCTGGTACTCAGTTGAAATATAGTACAACCTATCACCCTCAAATGGATGGACAGATTGAGGTAGTAAATAGATGTTTGAAGACATATTTGAGGTGCTTAACTAGTAAGAAGCCTAAAGAATGGATAAAATGGCTGCCTTGGGCAGAATTTTGGTACAATACCAACTATCATATCTCCTTAAAAAGACTCCTTACACGGCATTGTATGGGCAAGAACCTCTAGCAGTCATCAAAGGGGATGTATCCTTCACTGTCATACAAGAGGTGTCAAGATTGACAGCTGAGAGGAATGTAATGTTGACTGAGATCAAGGAACATTTAGCTATTGCTCAGAACCAAATGAGCCAACAAGCTAATAAACATAGAAGGGAAATTCAGATGGAAGTAGGAGAAAAGGTCTTTCTGAAAAATTCAGCCTTAAAAACTGAAAAGCTTGGCTAAAAGGATAAATCAGAGACTAAGCCCAAGGTAATATGGTCCATTTGAGATCACAGATAAACTGAGTTCAGTGGCATTCAAATTGAAATTACCTGAAGGCTGAACCATCCATCCTGTGTTCCACGTCTCTTTACTCAAGAAGGCTTTATTATGTCTTAATATACCAAGTCAGGCTCTACCTTAGTGTCTAAATAAAGAATGGAAACTCCAGGTATGACCAAAAAGGGTGGTGAATTTAAGGAAGAATGTGGAAGATAAAATGGAAGTCTTAATTCATTGGAAAGGTTTGCCTGAATTTGAAGATTCTTGGGAAGATGTGAATAAGATTCAGGAGCAATTTCCAGCCTTCCACCTTGAGGACAAGGTTGATCTTCAAGGGGGGAGAATTGATAGGAGCACGAGTAAAGAAACTAAAGACATGAGTGTTATTCAATTTTATGATAAAGTGTACCAAAGGAGGGAGACATTAAAATAACTAACAGAGAGAGAGAGAGAGTTAGTTAGTTAGATAGGCGGGTACATTTCTGTTGGGAGGGAAAATGACTGTAAATAAATAGTAGATGGGAAGTTGAGAGAGGTAGGCTGTTGGTTAGTTGAATTTGTCCTTGAGAGCCCTAACACTCTCGAATTTGCCCGGACTATTTCCCCTGAAGATTTTCTCTGATACCACTAAGTGTTGTGGATTTTCTCTAATTTGTTGAATTTAAGAGACTGTTTCCTTTGAAGATTTTCTCTGAATGTGGAAGATAAAATGGAAGTCTTAATTCATTGGAAGGGTTTGTTTGAATTTGAAGATTCTTGGGAAGATGTGAATAAGATTCAGGAGCAATTTCCAACCTTCCACCTTGAGGACAAGGTTGATCTTCAAGGGGGGAGAGTTGATAGGAGCACGAGTAAAGAAACTAAAGACACGAGTGTTATTCAATTTTATGATAAAGTGTACCAAAGAAGGAGGGAGACATTAAAATAACTAACTGAGAGAGAGAGAGTTAGTTAGATAGGCGGGTACATTTCTGTTGGGAGGGAAAATGACTGTAAATACATAGTAGATGGGAAGTTGAGAGAGGTAGGCTGTTGGTTAGTTGAACTTGTTCTTGAGAGCCCTAACACTCTCGAATTTGCCCAGACTATTTCCCCTGAAGATTTTCTCTGATACCACTAAGTGTTGTGGATTTTCTCTAATTTGTTGAATTTAAGAGACTGTTTCCTCTGAAGATTTTCTCTGATACCAATGATAGAAAAACGTAATCTGTAGAAAATCTTACTACAAGAACTCAAGAAAAGAGAAGGTTCATTCAATATTCACAGAAACAGGGAAACAGTCTGGGCAAATTCGAGAGTGTCAGGGCTCTCCAAGGATAGGTTCAACTAACCAACAACCTTCCTCTCTCAACTTCCCAGCTACTATTTATTTACAGTCACTTTCGCTCCCCAGCAGAAATGAACCCGCCTATCTAACTAACTCTCTCAGTTAGTTATTTTACTTATGCATCCTTCCTTCTTCTTTGGTACACTTTATCATAAAATTCAACAACATTCGTGTCTTTAGTCTCTTTACTCGTGCTCCTATTAATTCTCCCCCTTGAAGATCCACCTTGTCTTCAAGGTGGAAAGTTAGAAATTGCTCCTGAATCATATTCACATCTTCCCAAGAATCTTCAAATTCAGGCAAATCCTTCCAATGAATTATGACTTATTTTACCTTCCACATTCTTCCTTAAATCCACCACCCTTTTTGGTGATACCTGGAGTTCCCATGCTTCATTTAGACACTGAGGTAGAGTCTGATTTAGTATACTAGGAGATAAAGCCTTCTAAAGTAAAGAGACGTGGAACGCTAGATGGTACAATCCTCAGGTAATTTCAGTTTGAATGTCATTGAACCCATTTTATCTGTGATCTCAAACGGACCATACCATAATACCTTGGGCTTAGTTCCTGACTTATCCTTTTAGCCAAACTTTTTCAGTTTATAAGGCTGAATTTTTAGAAAAGACCTTTTCTCCTACTTCCATCTGAACTTCCCCTCTATGTTTATTAGCTTGTTGCCTCATTTGGTTCTGAGCAACAGCTAAATGTTCCTTGATCTCAGTCAACATTACATACCTCTCAGCTCTCAATCTTGACACCCCTCTTCTATGGCAGTTAAGGATACATCTCCTTTGATGACTGATGGAGGTCCTTGCCCATACAATGCCCTGTAAGGGGTCTGTTTTAAGGAGATATGATAATTGGTATTGTACCAAAATTCTGCCCAAGGTAGCCATTTTATCCATTCTTTAGGCTTCTTCCCAGTTAAGCACCTCAAGTATGTCTCCAAACATCTATTTACTACCTCAGTCTGTCCTTCCGTTTGAGGGTGATAGGTTGTACTGTATTTCAACTGAGTACCAGCCAGTTTGAACAATTCTAACAAAAAAGAACTTAGGAATATGTTATCCCTATCACTTACTATGGATTTTGGAAATCAGTACCTCCTTTATGAACAATTCAGCTACACTTTTGGCATTGTATAGGTGAGATAAGGCTATAAAGTGGGCAAATTTGGTCAACCTATCAACAACCACAAGTATAGTGTCTTTCCCTTGTGCTTTAGGTAGTCCACTAATGAAATCCATACTGATATCACGCCATATTTGATCTGGAGTAGGTAGTGGATGAAGTAATCCAGCTGGTTTTAAGGCCTGATATTTGTTTCTTTGACATATATCACAACATTCCTCATTCCAGCCCAATAGAAGAGGTTTGAGATCCTTTTCATAGTCCTGAAATATCTCGAGTGTCCCCCTGTGGCTGAATCATGGTATTCTTTGAGTATCTTTATTATTCTTGGAGAATCTTTAGGCAACATCAACCTCTTCTTAAAGTATAGCAGCCTTTTCTTCAACTGGAAGTTGTTCAGGTTGACTAAGTAGTCTCTGAATAGTATCATAACATTTAGAATCTTTTAATAGCTCCTCCTCTAAACCTTCCCACTCTTGGCAAGTTACTATTGATAAAGACTGCAAACTGGGCTTCCTTGATAGAGCATCTGCCGCTTTATTTTCAATCTCTGGCTTATATTTAATGGTAAAGTTATAGCCCAACAACTTAGTTATCCACTTCTATTGTTCTCCCATGATTTTCTGCTCTGTGAGGAACTTCATACTTTTTTGATATGTATGTACTTCCTACCTAATAAGTAGGGTCTCCACTTCTGAATAGCCAACACAATTTCCATTAGCTCTTTTTCATACACTGATTTATTCTGGTTTTTCACAGATAGCTCCTTACTAATAAAAGCGATTGGTCTGCCCTCTTGCATCAAAAGAGCCCCCAATCCTTTTTAGAGGAGCAACAATCCTGTTATATCCTCTAACAAATCTCCTGTAATAACCGGTTAAACCTAAGAAACCCCTCAACCCATTGAGGTCCTTAGGTTCAGCCCAATTCATCACTGCTTCTATTTTACTCGGATCAGATGACACTCCTTTTTCCGAGATAATGTGGCCTAGATATGCTAGATGAGACTTTCCAAATGAACACTTCTTTCTGTTGGCCACTAGTTGATTCTCCTTAAGAGTTGGCAACACCTTTCACAAATGATCCTTGTGTTCTTCTGGTGATTTACTATATACGAGTATATCTTCAAAAAACACCAAGGCAAACTTCCTTAAGAATGGTCTCAGCACTTGATTCATTAAGGCTTGGAAAGTAGAGGGAGCGTTGGTTAGTCCAAAAGGCATCACTATGTATTCATAGTTACCCTCATGTGTACGGAAGGCAGTTTTATGCACATCAGTTGCTTTCTTTCTTATTTGGTGATACCCCGATTTCAAATCCAGTTTGGAAAACAACTTAGCTCCACCTAACTCATCTAACAGTTCTTCAATCACAAGAATCGGGAATTTATGAGGAGTTGTGATTTTATTTAGAGCCCTATAATCACCACAGAAATGCCAACCACCATCCTGTTTCTTTACTAGTAATATAGGACTGCTATATGGACTGTTGCTATGCTAAATTATTCCCGATTTAAGCATTTCTTGAACCACCTTTTCAATTTCATTCTTTTGATGGTAAGGATACCTGTAAGGTCTCAAATTTGGAATGCTGGCTCCCTCTTGTATATTGATTGCATGGTCACAGTCCCTGACAGGAGGTAACTCTTTAATTGGATGAAATACTTCCGGAAATTCTTCTTTTAACTCTTTCCAGATTTCATCTTCCCCCTTTTCCTCCTCAACTCCAGTGGACATTCCATGATAGTACAACACATATGCTTCTCTAGTTTGATTCACCAGGCTAGTCATCTCTTTCATATTGATTTCCAACTGGTTCAATGAAGGATCTCCTTTTATAGATAACTTCTGCTCTTGAACCTCCCATTTAATGGTGTGCGTTTGGAAGTTAATCTCCATATCCCCCAAACTGGTGAGCCACTCCATGCCCAGCACCATATCTGTTCCTCCCAAGGCTAGTATATAAAAGGTTTGCTGTATGTCCAGTCCTTGTAAACTCAATTTCAGCCCTTCACACCTGCCATTGTTTGTGATTTTATCTCCACTACCTATCTGTACATTATATCCTTTGATAGTCTGATAGGGTAACTCCCATTTTCTCACCAGCACTTGAGAAATGAAGTTATGGGTGACACCACTATCGATAAGGACCTCAACTCTCTGTTCTCCAGATTCCCACTTCAGCACTCCTTGCACCTTAAAGGTTTTCATTGTTGGAATCCCTTCCTTGCTCATGAAGGACAACTGCATAGTTTTGGATTCCATTCCAGTTCCTTCTTCCTCTTCTGTATCTATCCTGACAGATTCAGATTCTTCATCTTCTTCAGAATCTTCCATAAGAACATATTTCTAGTTTTTCATTCTACATATGTGTTCTTTATTCCATTTTTCTCCATACTTGAAGCACAACCCCTTCCTGCTTCTCTCCTAAAATACTTACTGTGATAATCCAGGCCTTATATTCTTTTCACTTCTTGAATTTTCAATCTGCTTATTATCAATAGCAGTTCTTCCCACATAAGTTGGTACTGCACTACTGTTCATCCACCGACTTGTATCTCCACCTTTCAAGAACTTAGGAATGTCACCTCCTTTTTCCTTCCAAATTCTTCTTTCATCCTTCCTTATTTCTCCCAGTTCGAAGAGCATTATTCCTTTCCTCAATTAGTAAAGCTCTGTCCATTATCTCAGATAGAAATCTGGAATTGTAGAGCTTGAGATCCGCCCTGATTTCTTCCTTCAAGCCATTGATAAGGATTCCTCTCAGTATCCCCTTATCAATTCTTTTCTGAGGCGCTATCACCATTTCAAACTGGTCTCTGTACTCTTTTACAGTACTTTTCTGTTTCAAGCTCAGCATTGGACCATATGGATTTTGAACTAACTCTGGTTGGAAGCTGCGAATGAAAGATTCTTTCAACGCTTCCCAGTTATCCTCCATCGTCTGGCGTTCCCACCACTGGAACGAATTTAGGGCTCATTCCTCCATTGCGACAACCGCAACCTCCACTTTGTCTTCTTCGGCAGTCTGATTCAGCCGGAAATACCTTTCCATTCGTACAATCCAGATGTAGCCCCATCTCCGTTAAACAACGGTAGGTCAACCTTTCGTCCAGTACGAACGGATCTCCTACTGTTATCGCGACCCGAACTCGAGATAGAGTGGTCGGATCTACCTTCCGAAGCTGTTGGACTCTCCGATTCATGTCTCCGTCGGTGATTTGAAGTGTGCGACCTCCCTCTGGTATGATCACGACTCTTCGCCAACTGTGCTTCCGTCACCCTGCGAAATTTCTCTCGCATCTCGGTGAAATTCCGTTCAATCTCATCCAATCGATTTTCCATTTTCTCAGGCATTCACGATACTCACAGCGATCGACTTCTCTGATACCAATGATAGAGAAAAGTAATCTGCAGAAAATCTTACTACAAGAAACTCAAGAAAAGAGAAGGTTTATTCAATATTCTCAGAAAAGATTAGAGGGAAACAATTTGGGCAAATTCGAGAATGTCAGGGCTCTCCAAGGACAAGTTCAACTAACCAACAACCTCTCTCTCTCAACTTCCCGGCTACAATTTATTTACAGTCACTTTCCCTCCCCAACATAAATGTACCCGCCTATCTAACTAACTCTCTCAGTTAGTTATTTTACTTATGCATCCCTCCTTCTTTGGTACACTTTATCATAAAATTGAATAACACTCGTGTCTTTAGTTTTTTTACTCGTGCACCTATCAGCCACATATTTTAGCCAAACCACCTTTACCAAACAGGCTTGTAATATTTTCCGAACAAGTAGAAACTGATTTCTCTCGCAATAGTCGCATTGGTGGAACTAAACAAACTTTTTCACACCAAATAGGTATGACCTGAGTAAAATATTTTATGTGGTCATTCTCTCTAAAGCACCCATACTCTGCCATGGACCATGTGGGGCATAACGAGCTTCTGAATGATAGAACAATCTAGGTATTGAGAAGATTTACAGAAAACTATCAAAGAAATATCAAGAACAAGAACTGTAAACTTTATTGATGAAAAAGAGCAGTAACAATGGCCGAAGCCCCTGGCCGAAGCCCCCAAAGAGAGAGATAATTCTCAATCTTCCCAGTCAAGACTCAATAGTCCAAAATAGCCTCCCAACTATTCCCACTTTACATCTATTTATAGTATCCGAACTAACAAAATGTATTTATTAGCTCAAACAGAAATATAACTACACTAACTCTTCTATTTAATATCCTAATAGGTCTATCCCTATCACTGAAATGGTTCATCTAGTTTCAATACATGAGTCTCCTCATGAAATATATTGTTGAGTTTATTTTCTTTAGATGGTCGAAGTTGATATTCCACAATCACTCTTTGAGGAACAAGGGAGGCAGCTGTATGGGGCCCAACTATTAGAAATACAAGTTTGCTCCTCCAGTCTCATTCTCAGTTAGCAACTTCCTATATTTGCACTAGTATAAACTTGGAATTTAATTAGGGTTTTATTGTGTTAGGCAAATATGAAGCTAAATGAACAGCAGCTGTCGACTCTATCAAGTCCAAAGGCCGTCAATGAGTTCCTTCAAACTCAAGAGGAAAACATAACAAACATTATAAAGCAAAACCTAGCCCTTGGTGATATATTTTCTCGTGAAAATCTGCAGGTGAGTTTTATTTGCATTGTGTATCCCTTTGGTTGCAATATATACCATTTCGTAATGCATATTAAGACAATGAAGAGGCTTTTATGTGATTTTATAAATTTTATTTGGTTGATGTGAGGTGTGCTCATTCCTGCATACCAATCTTGACATATACTCCGTATGTGTTTGTTGAGTCTTACCTAAAAAAATTGTTGTCGGAGACAGACTACTATCGCATTAAAACTTGAAGTTTCATCTAAACTAGCTTTATATTTGATCCAATGTGAGTGACTATACAAACCATCTAGGATTCTTGATAAATGAAGACTTGAATAAAAAAGAGTTCCAAGGGAGAGAATAATTTTCTGGTTGTGTATCTGTCCACAACCCTGAACTCCATTATTTATAATAATGAGTGTACAAGTACATTAATGAGTGAAAGGAGATGAAAGGTCAAATAAGATGAAAGGTCAGTTCTAGAATAATACATATGAGTCTATTTAGCTACCAATATACTACGTATCTAGATAAATCTAACACTCTCCCTCAAGCTGGAGCATACAAATTGTATGTACCAAGCTTGGAACAAATAAATTCAATTCGAGGACCTCTCAAAGATTTTGTCAACACATCTGCAAGTTGACTATTGGACCCAATAAATTCGGTACTGATTTCTTTAGACATCAGCTTTTCTCGAACAAAATGACAAACGATCTGTATGTGTTTAGTTCTCTCATGGAACACCGGATTTGAGGCAATGTGAAGGGCAGCTTGGTTGTCAGTTGTCACAATACATCTTCATTTGCTGAACCTTACAGAACTTTAATTCTTGAAGAAACTGTTTTACCCATATGAGCTCACAAGTGAGAGACACCATTGCCTTATATTCAGCTTTAGCGGAGGATAGGGCAACTACATTTTGTTTCTTGCTTTTCCAAGAAATAATATTTCCTCCAAGAAAGACATGATATCCTGTGGTAGATCATCTATCCAAGGGAGATCCTGCCCAATCAGCATCACAATACCCAAGGATTTGAGTATTCCCTTTGTCTTCGTATAGCAAGCCTTGTCCTGGAGCCTTTTTATGTATCTTAGGATGCGAATGACAGCATTCCAATGCTCAATGTATGGCGCCTGCATAAATTGACTAACAACACCAACTGCAGACGATAGGTCCGGTTTAGTGATAGTGAGATAAATGAGCTTCCCAACCAACCGTCTATACCTCTCTGGATTAGAAAACACTTCTACCTGTTCTGGCATTAACTTTTGGTTAGGGTCCATAGGACTATCTACAGGCTTACAATCAATCATTCTTGTTTCTCTTAGCATATCAAGGGCATATTTCCTTTGAGAGATTACAACACCTTCTTTTGACTGGGCCACTTCAATGCCCAAGAAATATCTGAGACTCCCGAGATCCTTGGTCTGGAAATGACGCCCAAGTGTTTCTTCAAGTGAGATATTCTTGCAGCATCATTTCCTGTGATAACAATGTCATCCACATACACTATCAAGTAAACACATTTTTCAGGAGAGGTGTGGCAATAAAAAACAGAATGATCTGCTTCACTACGTTTCAGCCCAAAGGCTTGAACAATAGAACTAAATTTTCCAAACCAAGCTCGTGGGGATTGCTTTAGACCATAGAGAGAACGGTGTAACTTGCACACCAAACCAGACTCCCCCTGAGCAACGAACCCGGGAGGTTGCTCCATGTAAACCTCCTCATCCAGATCACCATGTAGGAATGCATTTTTTATGTCTAACTGATAAAGTGGCCAATGGCAAATGGCTGCCATAGCAAAAAAGAGACGAATAGTAGTCATTTTGGCCAATGGAGAAAAGGTATCATTGTAATCAAGGCCATAGATCTGGGTGTATCCCTTGGCAACTAACCGGGCTTTGAGACGATCCACTTCTCCATTAGGACCAACTTTAATGGCATAGACCCATCGACATCCAACTGCTTTCTTTCCTGGTGGAAGAGGAACTAATTCCCGTGTTTCATTATGTTCAAGGGCCTGCATTTATGCAATCGTGGCTTGTCGCCATCGAGGATGATCAAGTGCTTCATTCACATCTTTAGGAATTGTGATTGAAGAGACAGAGGATATAAAGTTACAATAAAAAGGAGCAAGTCTATGATAGCTAAGGAAATTGTAAATGGGATGTGGATTACGGGTAGAGCGAGTACCTTTCCGGAGGGTAACCGACCAAGCCAAATTATCATTATCAGGAATTGTGGCAGAGGGCGATGATTGAGAAGAATCTGATGAAGAGTGCTCACCTTGAAGAATTGGATCGGTCTGTCGGGTCCTACGTTGGTAGGTAATAAGAGGAGGACCTTGGTTGGGGGTTGAGTCATCTACTGAATCCAAAGGAGGTTGGCTGGGAATAGAGTCATTTGCAATAGACAGAACAAAGGGCTCAATAGATGGTATAGGGAGAACTTGCTGGACAGATTGATCTCTAAGTGAAAAAAATGGAGTTTGTTCAAAGTGAGTGACATGGACAGACATATAATATCTCTTGTTCTCAGGAGAGTAACAACGATACCCTTTTTGAAGACAGGAATAACCTAAGAAAACACATTTGATAGCCCGAGCCGAGAGTTTATCTAATCCTGGAGACATATCATGGACAAAACAAACACAACCAAACACACGAGGGGAAACATGAAAGAGGGGTTCATTAGGAAACAAGATAGAGTGAGGGGTTTTATTATTAAGAGAAGAGGATGACTTTCTGTTAATAAGAAAGCAAGTAGTTAAGACAGCATCTCCCCAATGATGAACTGGTACATTTGCACCAAGTAATAAGGTACGAGCAGTCTCAATCAAGTGTCTATTTTTCCTTTCAGCTACACCATTTTGTTGAGGTGTATGAGGACAAGTGGATTGATGTAAAATGCCATGTGAACTTAGGAGGGAGAAAAAACTAGTGGAGAAGTATTCCTTGGCATTGTCACTCCTTAGAATTTTGATTATTGTTCCAAATTGATTGCGAATTTAATTACAGGAAAAGATAGACAAAAGTTCAGAACGATCCTTCATTAGATAAACTCAAGTACACTTAGAAAATTCATGAATGAACGTGACAAAATATTTAAAACCAAAAGAGGAAACCTGACTTGGTCCCCAAACATCAGAATGGATAATAGAAAATGCAGAATCACATCGAGACTCAGAATAGCTAGGACATGAAGACCTAACATGTTTCCTGAGTTGACATGACTCACACTCTAAGGTTTGAAGACCACTGAGTTCAAGAACCATTTTCTTTAGTTTTGCTAAGTGTGGATGTCTGAAACGTTCATGCAAGAGTTTGGGAGAAGGAGTTGCTAGACAAGAGACTGATGATTTACTTCCATAATAATAGAGACCTCTAGATTCATATCCTTCTCCAATCATCCGACCTGTTCCACATTCCTGTATAACAAATGAATTAGCATCAAAGGTTACTGTACAGTTCAATGATTTTGCTAATTGGCTTAATGAAATGAGGTTAGACGGACATGTGGGGACAAAAAGAACAGATTTTAAGTTCAAGGTTGGAGAGAGAGATACTTGGCCGATTCCTTAGGAAGCAGTTTTGGATCCATTTGCCATGGTTATAAGATGTGGGTGTTTAAGATGTGAGAGAGAAGAGAATAGAGAATTATTACCAGAAATATGGTCAGAAGCACCTGAGTCAATTATCCATGGATTTTGACTTTCCACTATTTGTGAAACGCAAGCAGTTGACGTATGTTGGGTTTTAGAAGATTCTGCTGAGTTGTTGGACTTAATCACAAATACTCTTGGTATTCCTCACCAGACAGTTTCAGATCAGAAACTTCAGAATCTTTAGATTTGGAGAAGTTTGCAGTTTTATTAGGAAACCCATGAAGAAAGTAACAGTTCTCATGAATGTGACCCATTCTTTTGCAATGGGTGCATTGAGGACATCCTCTTCCTGCACGTCCTCCTCTGTTTCCACGACCCCCTCTTCCATGAACTACCATAGCTGAAAACTCTACAGGTTCTTGAGACTTGTCACCTTTAGGAGTAGGAATCCGAAGGAGACGTGTTGTTAAATTGTCCATGGTCGATACCTCAGATCCAGTGAGGATTTGATCTTTAACGTGATCAAAATCTGAGTTCATGGCTCGGAGGATCATTACCATATAAAATTTGTCCAGTTTCTTCTTAGTTTCCTCCAGAGATTTAGCTTCTAAGGACATTTTCAGTTCTTCAACAGCAGCTTGCGCTTTGGCAATGAAGGACATCATATCGTGATCTATCTGTTTAAGAGATGCCAGCTTGTGAGCAGCATCATATAGGCGTTGAATATCATTTGCAAAGATCTCTTGAACTTTCTTCCAAAAGGTCTTGCAAGTTTTGAAGGTTCTGAGAGTCCCTAAAATATTGGGTTCTACGGACGGCCACAATAGAGCACACAACTGGTAATCTAATTTTTCCATTTTTCGGGTTCTTCCTTGATCTCACCTTCATCTTTTTTAAGATGGTCATGGTACCCTTGTCCCAGAAACCAAAGTTCCACAGCAGCTGACCAAGACATATAATTTTTCCTATTAAGCTTCTCTGAAGTGATAGAAGGAGATCCTGAGAAGAGTTGGGTTGGACCGGAAGCCATATGAAAACGACGACATTAGGTCAGCGGCAATGAGCAGCCGAAAGGGCCGGATAGAGATGGCAAGAACCTGCTTTGATACCAACTTGAATAAAATAGAGTTCCAAGGGAGAGAATAATTTTGTGGTTGTGTATCTGTCCACAACCCTGAATTCCATTATTTATAATAATGTGATAAGAACAGAAAAGTAAAATCAACGGGGTGAACCGTTGCCCAGATAATCAACGATAAATAAATATCGTTGCCCAAAGCCAAAAGGCTAAACCAAACTTTTATTCCAAGATTATCAAGAATGAAGCATACAAGGGGTATAAATAACCCTCTAGGTCTAATAAGAATAGGAATCCTAATTAAATTATTCTAGGAAACCAAATAGAATAGGAAACCTCTAGTTCTAATAGAACTTCTAATTAAATCATTCTAGGAAACTAAATAGAAATAGGAAACCTCTAATTCTAGTAAGAATAGAAGTCCTAAATAAATCCTACTAGGAAACAAATTAAATTAGGAAACAAAATAAAAGGAATAATAAATATTAATTAAACAGCCCGTAACCGGCCCACGGAAGTGGGCCCAAGTCCGGTCCCGCCACATGCTCTTCCCGCTTCATATCAATCCACCCCCCTTAAAATAACCTTGTCCTCAAGGTTGAAAACTCGCTGATTGGGAGCTGAAATTTCCAGACATAGTATAGACTGGAAAATATCCTTCTTCTCTTTCATGAACCCTTTCCTGGCCGGTTATTTCGCAGAATTCATGCTGCTTGAGGTCCAACTCTTCATCCTCCTCGGCTATCATTACCCGCAGCTGCTTAAAGGGACAATCATGCCCTGGCGTGAATGGTTTCTTGCATCTAAAGCATAATCCTTTTGCCCTCAAATCTGCTAACTCTTTTGGCGCAAGACGGGTGAACTGGGATCGTGTCGTAGGCTGCCCAGACAGCCCTGACTTTGTCCCCGGAGGCTGTCCACTATCCTTCGCAAAGCTGCCCCCTGAGCCCTGTAAGCTGCCACCGGTGGCAGTCAACGGGGGACCCGTGTTTGCCCTTACAAAACTGCTGGAACGTACCCCCAAAGAATGATAATTCAGGCTGCCACTTTCTCTACTTTGGACGGACAGATTATACTCCACTTCGCGAGCTAATTCCATAGCCATCTCCAGGTTGTTTGGTCGAAGTAATCGCAGCGAGCTTCGGATTATCTCCTTAAGCCCACTCATGTAATAGCCCAAGTAATGATCGTCAGTTAATCCGGGTACTTGACTGGCGAGTTGTACAAACAAAGTATTGTAATCTTCCACTTGCCCAATTTGTTTAACGCCAGCTAGCCGCTCAAATCTGTTTCCTTGATATCGGGAATCAAATCTAGCCACCAAGGCTTGCTTAAATTCCTCCCAGGATATGCCGGGTTTGCGTGCCTTTAACCATGTCACCCAATAGAGGGCTGCCCCTTCCATAGAAACCCTAGCCGCTGCAATTTGTCTATCCGGTGGGGTTCTGTTGAGCTCGAACTGCTGCTCCACTCTTGCCAGCCACCCAATTGGGTCTTCACCGTCGAATGAGGGAAGCAGTGTCGTGGATGCGCTGCGCGGTCCGCCCTCGTCGGTGAAAGCAGTCGCGATGTGGGCGGAGGAGCCGCTCTCGATGGTCGTGCTTGGAGACTTCGCTGGCGGTACCATGGCCTTTGCGATTGCTGCCAGGGATTCTGCAATTTCCGCAAGCCGGGCGGCCTGCTCCTCCTGTTTCCGAGCCAGTACATCCAGTTTCTCTCCTTGTGAATCGAGCTTTTGATTTACCATGGCCTGTTCAGCCTCCAATTCCGTCAGTCGTTCGTTTTGAGTTCTTGTCATCTTGGCGGGACGGGGATCCGGCAGGTCGGACCAATTGATAAGAACAGAAAAGTAAAATCAACGGGGTGAACCGTTGCCCAGATAATCAACGATAAATAAATATCGTTGCCCAAAGCCAAAAGGCTAAACCAAACTTTTATTCCAAGATTATCAAGAATGAAGCATACAAGGGGTATAAATAACCCTCTAGGTCTAATAAGAATAGGAATCCTAATTAAATTATTCTAGGAAACCAAATAGAATAGGAAACCTCTAGTTCTAATAGAACTTCTAATTAAATCATTCTAGGAAACTAAATAGAAATAGGAAACCTCTAATTCTAGTAAGAATAGAAGTCCTAAATAAATCCTACTAGGAAACAAATTAAATTAGGAAACAAAATAAAAGGAATAATAAATATTAATTAAACAGCCCGTAACCGGCCCACGGAAGTGGGCCCAAGTCCGGTCCCGCCACATGCTCTTCCCGCTTCATATCATAATGAGTGTACAAGTACATTAATGAGTGAAAGGAGATGAAAGGTCAAATAAGATGAAAGGCCAGTTCTAGAATAATACGGATGAGTCTATTTAGCTACCAATATACTACGTATCTAGATAAATCTAACATGAAGCATACAAATCTAACCTCAATACTTCACCGACTAACTAATTCATTGGAGTTCACTGCAGGTTTCAATTGAGGAGTTGGCAAAGGAGGTTCAAAACTCAATCGCTGAGTTCCAACAACACAAGCAAGAATATGATGAGGAGCGTATAAAGGAGCAGGTTAGGAAATACTGCTACACAGATGGAAAAAGACCCTAAGGCATATATAATGTAGATATAAATATATCAATTTTATGTTTTGACCCTGTGCAGGTGCGAGAGGTACTTGAACGAGTAAAAGTGCTTGAGTGGCTTAGAGAGCATGCCAAAATTCAGTACATAACAAGATAGGGAGTCAATTTGAATGAATATTTCATGTAACCATGTATGTCCTGGTTTGCTATAATACAAGATGTCCACTACCCTGCTAAAGTGGATTGCCATGTCATTTCAGTTACACTTCTTATTCTACCACATTTTCAGTGTATCTTACATGGCTCCTCCATTGTGATGACAAACCCAATACACCTCTCAAAATGGGATTTTTCTTCCTCTAATTCAAGACTGTCCAAACCATCAGAGTTTGCTGCTTCCAAGTCCTGTGAAGACTTGGTCAAATCCGATCCCCGCCAGTAGGCGTGGACCCGGTTCGGGCCGCCCGGCCCAGGACCGGCCCGGCCCGCCACTGTGCGGGTCCGGAACCGGCCCGGTTCTCGGGTCCGGGTCCGGTTTGGGCACCGAACCGGTTGGGGAAGCGGGTCCGGGCTCGGGTCTGCGTTTTGGTGGCCCAGGCCCGGGCCTAACGGTCCAAAATTTAAATTTTTTTTTTTTTTTGCTTCTTTTGGCTCAACGGCCACCCCAAACGGCTATATAGCCGTTGGGTGGTACCAGGGGGGGGGTCAGGGGGCTTTGGGTGGGGGTTAAAAAAAAAACCTATAAATACTCCTAATTTTAAACATTTTTTCACACCTCTTCTCCAACTCTACCTAAATCCTACTCTCTACTCATCTCCAATTCTCCATATTCATCTTCTCAAATTCTCTTATTCTCAATAATATTTTATTTTACTATTTAATACTTATACAATTATTATATCTACTTATATATTAATTATCTACTTATATATTATTATCTACATATACTATATTACTTATATTTTATATATACTTATTTTCCAATCTCCAATTCTCCATTATACTCTATGTGTATAACTTAAAAAAAAAAATTAATTCAAACCTCCCAAACGGCTATATAGCCGTTGGGGCTATGGGTGGGGGGCAGGGGGGTCCCGGGGGTGGTGGTGTGGGGAGTGGGGTTCAAAAACATTTATAAATACATCTATTTTCTAACATTTTTCTACATCTCTTCTCCAACTCTTCTCAAACTCTTCTCCATCTTCATCTTCTCTTATTATCCTACATTCCTACTTATACCATTTTAAAGTACATCTTCCCTTATGCAAAACAATTTTGACAAGTGGAAGGACCTGAAGACCGGTCTGTGGTGGGCAACTTGCAGGTGGTGCAAGAAAGAGTGTTGCTTGGGGCGTTCATACGGATACGGGATGCCAATAAAACATATGAAGTCTTGTGACAAAGGGAAAACAACAACCAACGGTGGCGGAAATCCCAATTGATATTCATTACAAAATGTATTTCGTATTGTTATTTTTTTCTCAATTCTCAAATGTAGTTCTTATTTCAAATGAATGCACTTGAACTTTGTTTTTAATAGCAATTTATATAAGGGATAAATACCTATATATGACTAAAACTCATTACAATTTCCAAAGTATGACCAAGTATGTTTATTTCCCAACTTATGACTATAATGAGATCAAAACAATTATATCCGTAAAACCAAGGAGAATTGAAAGACAAAATTGACCTTAAACATACGTTCACATAGTGCTTTTGAGAATAGGAAAGAATCAAAGCTATAAATGCACAATTAAAGATGGAGAGAAAGTAGGATGATCCTATATTTTTAGGAACAAAAATAATGAATAATGGTTTAACAAAAAACTATACCCTCCTTGCCAATTTAAACGGTGTGCACCCCATAAACAAAAGAGGGAATAGAAAGAGCTAGCACATACTTGATGAGAAGCAGATCTAACAATAAGACGAAAAATTTTCTTTTCCCTCTTGCCCATGCTTTGAGTGCAGTGATTTTTAATGATGGCATTACTATATTGCACTAATATACCGCACTAAATAGTGTGGTACTTCATACTTCGTATTTAACTTATATTTTGTGGTTCCTTAAAAAAATTTATTTTTTGTGGTTTGTGTAGTGCAATTATTAATTAACTTATAAAATACATGCAGTAAATCAGTTTTATTACATTTTTATGATTAAGAAGATTGGGGGTGTGTAATTCATGCATTACATTGCACTAAATGAACCAATTCATTGCACTAAATGAAAAAATTCATCTTTATTACATAAATTTTACATAAACTATCACTAATACATTCGAATTCACTGCATTATAGACAATGCATTATATAAACTATCACTAACACATTCATGCATTAAATGAACTAATTCATTGCACTCAATGAACAAATTAGTCTTTTGTCCAAAATTTTAGAAGAGAAAGAATGATGGATGGGTAGCTTAGAAGAGAAAGAATGGAACGTGTAGATTCAAAAAAAAGAAGAAGAATGGAACGTGTAGCATGAGTATAATTAGAATATTCGGTTACCTAGTTTAGTGGGATCTTGAATGTAAAATAATTATGGTAGCAATTTAATATGCATAAAATAAGGAGCTATTAGTTCTTTAATATGTTTACGTACTGTACAAGGACAACTATGGAATGAAAAATAAAAAAAAGGGACGGATGATATGAATATCGTGACATGTACCATCATACTAGGAAAAAAACATACAAGTCATATAATGAGAAAGATGATGACTTTTAGTAATATAGAGGGTAAATTTCTCTTTATATAATATATAATTAATTAAAAAATATATATATAATGGCCCGGCCCGGCGGGTGGCCTGACCCGTGACCCGGGCGGGTGGCCCGGCCCGAACCGGAACCGGTCATTGACCGGGCCGGTCCCGGGCCTACCATTATAGGACCCGAGGCCCGACCGGGCCTTGACCTGGCCCGGGCCCGACCCGGCCCGGGTCCAACACTACCCGCCAGTTGTTTTGGCAGCTGTGTGAGCTGCTATTGAATCAGATATTTTTGCGGTCTTTTGGATCCCACTTGTTTCAGTTCATTGATCGTTGTCATATTGTATTAAATTTATCTTTTATAAATTAGTTTGTAGATGTCTTTATTTTGTGGGATGCAATAATGATCTCTTCAGAAACCTATTATTAGCCTTCCTGTTACATATTCAAACCATTTGCCTTGGACCATAGTTTTTCATAATTATTTTGAAATTCGTTAAATCTCTCAAAGGCACTACGTATGAAATACAAAGCGCCCTTGGCATGTTTGCTTGCTTTTGGAGTTTTGGACATATTTTTGAGGCTAAAATGACTCATGGTTACCAATTTGCTTTTAAAAGAAGAAAGCTACTTATTCAAATTGCAGGAAAATCTAACTGCAAATCAAAGTTGAACAAATTCAAATTAGTTAAAGATGAAAATTTTACTCAAATGAGAAGTAATTTTATACTAGTACTAGTCTCATTAAAGCCCAGTTCTGTATTTTTCTGCTTAAATCAAAGTTCACTTTTAATCATATTGAACTATCACCAAAGATATACTCATGTAATTGTAAATGGTCAAGAGTTTTTTAAGCAATGAAACCTTTATTATGTTTTCATACTCTGTCGGGCAAATAAACTTATAAACCATGCTAGGAATGCTAGCACGTGAAATACTCAAATACTCATGCCTCTCATATATCATATTATTGCCCCATTTTTCTTTTGAGACTATCTCACTAAAGTTTGTCTCATAGTATGTTTTATTTATACGGAGTAATATTTTTGTAAATCAAATATAATCGGGATAAGGGTCAGATAGGGCCTCGAACTCGAAAAAAAATGTCAAATAAGGTCATATTTCGGATGCTCTGTCTGGCCGACGCCATTTGGGGTGGTTCCCTATGGAATTTTTTGATGAAATTTTTTGAGCATCTTCCTCATTAAGTCTAGTTTACCCATACCAAATTTCAGCTAAAAATTCAACCGGGAAGGTAGTCAAATAATTTTCCGAAATGTACGGCGTTGTTTAACTTCACAGTTATCTTCAAAAATTCATTTGACTACCTTCCCGGTTGAGTTTTTAGCTGAAATTTGGTATGGGTAAACTAGACTTAATGAGGAAGATGGTCAAAAAATTTCATCAAAAAATTCCCTCGGGAACCGCCCCAAATGGCGTCGGCCAGACAGAGCATCCGAAATATGACCTTATTTGACATTTTTTTTCGAGTTCGAGGCCCTATCTGACCCTTATCCCAATATAATCTGATTTATTTACACAAGGGGCGGCCCTAATAGTTTAAGGTCTAGGGGTAAATAATTTTCATCCCTCATATCTCAACAAATATTTTTTGTCTAATCTAATGCATAACAATAATACTTCAAAAATTGTATAATAAAGAAAAGACTTATAATTCGCGGTATTAAACAAGTAAAATCACAGTTAGAGAACATTTGTATCACACCTTGAAATTTATTATATTTATAAATTTAATGAAAATCCAATTTTTTTACAGAAGAAATTTTAAAATTATCACAGGATGATTTAATTTTATCATTAGTCGACCTTAAAATTCACAAATTGTAACTCAAATCGGAACGAAGGAAGTATAAACCTGAATTTGCGATTTCACGATCAATAAGTCAAAAATTAGATGACTAATCAACAAAAATATAAATTCAATGAAAACTAAAAATGGTGAAAACTATGATAATTGATCATGAAATAAGTAAGAGCATAAATGAAAAATATACAATGACATAAGAGTAATAAAAGATATAGAGGACTTGAAGTTATCAGAAGTTAGAATTTTATGTTCATATTAGGAAGGATAATAAAACGCTCAAGAAGTTGATGTACTATCTATGGTCTATTGAGTATTGACATATGGAAGTTTATAATCAGGAATTGGATTAGGGATAATTCCCTTACTAGGAGTAAAACATTAAATATGTGCACAAATAGGAGTTCAATGTTTAATTTACTTTAATAGGAGTAAAAATGTAATGACTTGACTGAAATACCCTTAATGAAATTCCAGATTCATTTACAATTAAAAAACAGAAAAATAAATTAAAACCAGACCAAGACTCTAGCAGCATTACTCTGTCTCGGCACCTAATATTCAGCCTTTGTCCGACGAGTCCACCGCCACCGTCGTCCGGCGAGTCTGTTGCCACCCAGTTGGTCCGTCACTGCTGCAGTCCAGAATAACCACCACAGTAGGTCTCCAGCAAGTCTGTCGCTGCTTTCACCCCCTCCTGTGCTCTCTTTAGCCGGCGGCGCAAATCCACTACTCTCCGGTGAGGTCGCTGCCGCCATCACCCTTTGTTGAGCTTTCATCTGGTTACTAGTGGCAATTGCTTGGCGGTGCCCAAAGCGGCTGCAATGGATCGCGGCAGCGGCGGCAGGGATTCATGTGGCGGCGGCTGGAGTGCTGGTTAGGGCTTGAGCGGTGGCGGCTTGTGTCGAGTGTGTTGGAAGCGGCAAAAGAAACTAGGGTTTTAGATTTTTGTTTTACTTTTTTTAATTGAAAATACATTTAGAAATTCATTAAGGCCAATTTTGTCAAATGAATATATTTTAGTCCTATGAAACATGGAAGTCCTATTTGTGCATTTGTTAATTGTTTTGGTCCTATTTAGGGAATTAACTTAAAGAATAAAAGAAAAGAAGGAAAGAAAAAAAAAAGAAAGGGAAAAATAAAATAAAGTCCAAAAATAATTATAAAATACGTCACCTATTTGTAAATCAAACATTGTAAATCGTGTGAAAACTTTTAAGTGGAACGAAGGAGTATTGTTTATGTGATGATGAATTTTGTCCTTAAAATTTGTAGAGAGATAACACTGCCACAATACAAGAATAAAAGACTCCGGAAAGTTATATAGAAAAACTAGAAAATAGATTCACTTGGTGAGAAGGGAGGTTCAGAATTCAATTCCATCAAGGGAAATAAGAGAGATTTTGTTTTATCTCCACATTTTCATAGAGTAACTCAACTATTGATAAATGAAAATAATAAACTAATAACGGAGGTAGCTTGGCGATGATCAAATACGAATTAACCTCTGAAGTTAGTTCATATGGTTCAAGATCATACTGTTATAGGAGCTGAAGTCAAGACAACTCGATTAAGAAAAAATAGCCATTTAATTTCTTCATTAGGATGATCACAGCAAGTTGGGCTATTGCTAAGAGTGAAATTTATGAATTTCTGACTAGAGTGGTTGAATTGACTGATTCTGTTGATTAATGAAAAAATAATATCTAATTTTTTTATTAATACTATAAATATTTTTTTATGAAAAATAGATAAAATGATCGTCAACAATAACTTTAGTCAATACAGTAAGAAAATTAACTCCGGTCTTATTTTTTCTTATTATTAAACAATTCAAACCGCAAAATCAAAAGTCATGTATTTGATAAAAAGTTGACTGATAATCTTCACGGGGGTTGTACATATTTCTTAAGAATGTTTATGTTCCTTCATGAAGCTGAAGCAGGTATTAGACTGTTTGGGTGAAACTGCAGAAATACTTTTAAATGCTCCAAATTGCTCTTAGAAAAGTTTTTTAGAAATGGGAGAAGATCGGTTTCCCGTAAAA